TTGGCATTATTGTATTAACGTCATGTAAACTTAAAACATCACGAATTTAGTTACTTACAGCAGGTCTTTCCGGCATAGTCTTTGCGACGACATACGTTAAAACGCCAACGCTCAAGAAAAATAAGGAGAGTTGTTTTAAGGACGTAGAAGGATCATAACCATAAACATCGAAACCCCATACACTTAACGCTTCCTCTTCTTCGTGGAGCTACAGAGCATTAGACGAAGACGTCGAAATTAAGAAAATCAAAATAACTAAACATTATCATGCAATTTCCCTTAGGGCGATAAAGACACACCAGTTCACCAAAGTCTCTCCTATTCTGCTGATCCCACCAACCCAGCGGTGGTCTTTTTAACCTAGACTCCATGGGCAGGTTTGGATAATCTCCAATTTGAGGGTCATCAACTGAATATTTCGGTGGTTCAGCCTTATATCGTGCAACTTGTTGTCTTGAGATGGCAAGATAGCCCTGGGAGGTAACGGGAAGTTTTCGCAGAAACGTGCCGTTGACAGTACGGCGAATTGTCGTAAAAATCATTCTAATATAATTCGAGACAACTTATCATATTGAGCCTACATAATTTATATAAAGAATGATTGTTATTGGTTAAATGCAGTGATACAATGTGTCAAATTTTTTTGACTATAAAAAAAAAATTAGATGAGCATTACTCATTTGAGAAAAACTGATGAATATGGAAATTATCAAATCTTATATCGCACCTTGCTCCTTTTTTTTTAGTTTCATTCACCAATGCTATTGAACTATATGGATTTGACATCAGACGCTGCCCTCGACGCAGTTGACATAGAAGAAAAACAAGAAAAACAGAGTTTCCAGAATTTAACTCTGACCAACGGCATAGCTGTAAATCAAAGTACGTCAATAAAAATATATTTCTCCCAAATACAACGAGAAGTATACGAACTTGCAAACTCAGACAAGCCAATTTCGAGATATGTAACTCACGCACTTAACCTTATTGAAAGGTCTCTAGAAATATATGGGTACGTGTTTCTTTACATTCAAAAGTGTGTTTAGAAATGCAATACAACCTATTGACTTTGGAATAAATAGGATCGAGGGGTTAAGTATTTCTTTCAATGGTGGAAAGGACTGTGTGGTACTTTTACATTTGCTAGCTGCAGTAGTATACAAAAATTTTCAAGACTCTGTAGAAAAGCTTAATATTCAGGCTGTGTATATTACAATTCCGAATCCTTTCCCCGAAGTTGAGGAATTTGTGAATGAAAGTGTCCTACGATATGGGTTAAATATTGTTAAAATAGGAGGTTCTATGAAAAAAGCATTGAAAACATATTCTGAATGTTATCCAAATATTAAAGCGATACTAATTGGCACTCGTCGAAGAGACCCGCATGGAGGTAGGCACATCATCTCTATTTTATCCTTTATATAAAGAGTATCTGACAATTTTTTAATACACAGCAAAACTGTCGGAGTTCATCCCAACAGATCCAGATTGGCCTAGTTTTATGCGTGTTAATCCAATCCTTGATTGGGACTACGCACTTGTGTGGGAATTTTTGCGAACTTTAAATATACCATATTGTATATTATATGATAAAGGGTAAGAGGTGTTATATGAGATTAATCTATCTTTTATATAGATTATTTTTAACGTTTCTTCCAAATGCAAAGGTACACATCACTCGGTAGCATCGATAATACGTATCCTAATTCGGATCTTCGTAACCCTAACAACCCAAACGGTTATGATCCAGCATGGAAACTGGTTGACGAGAGTAAGGAGAGATATGGAAGGGAACATTAACAATGCCGGATGAGTTCCCAAGTAATAGAGGCATCACATATATTTTTACTGAATCCAATAATTATAAGCGGAATATTTTTAATTTAGATTAAGACTTTATTGAATAGGTAAATGAAACATTTTAATTTCTTCATCTAGTAGTGATCTTGACTGGAGAACAGTATCATTTGTTTGCTTTAACATTGGGATTAAAATTACTTTTTAAATTTTGCCATCCCATATAATAATCTTTTTGGATTTCCATCTTGTTGGATACACCCCACAAAGTCATACCCAACATCAAGGATGATTCAAACATGAATGCTAAAATATAGAATATTTTATTACTTTAGGTCCGTCCGTAGATATTAATTAAACAATAATAGAAAACAAGCACCATACTTACCCTGTGTTCCATCGGCCACTCGAACAGGTTTTAGTTCTTCATTACTTGCCTTCTCAAAAGAAACGGCATCTGGACCATGTGGAGTCATGAAATTGTGAAGACTTTAATTAAAATAATTAGTGCAGAAGTGAAGAATAAGTTAATTGTGAGGAGGATGATGAAAATATAATTAAGAATATTTCTAACTAAGTACCTCGCACCACCAGGAAGAAACCCTTTAGATTTAGCTTCGTATGAACCTTTAATGAGTCCCATAAATTCTGACATACAATTTCGATGAAAATAAGGGATTCGGAACTTTATAATTGAATAAATAATGCATTTAAAAATTTTATTAATAAGTGATGAAGGATTTTTAATAAGGAGAATCGATTTATATTAATTATTTAAGATTATGGTTACTAAATGCTTACTGTGTGTTCTTGAACAGCCCATCTGGGAGGAAATATCACGAAATCTGCTATCGCAGTACCAGGAAATGCAGATTTGCAAGTGAGCACCGTAAATATCGATGGATCCTTTAAATATGTGTGCCATGAGGATTAGACAATTTGATGGGAATTTAGTGAGTTATTTAATTTAATAAGAAAGATATGAATATGAGGTGTTGATAGAAATTTGAACTTACTAGATGATCAAACGAAACAGAATTTACGACATTGAATTTAGCGAGATCATATTTATAAGGAACATAATTTCCGTGCCACGCTACCACATCGAATGGTGAATGTTCCTTGGAAGTGGCCGATGAAAAATGTGTATAATTCGATGAAATTGATTCCTCAAGTTAACCAGCGTGCAAATAATATTCATACCTGCTTTGCGATGAACAATTGCCCGACAAATTTGTTTATTATAGTGTATTCGCAATTTGATCTGTCCTCATAGTATGCGGTGGGCGTTAGAAAATCACGTGGATTCGCTAGACCATTCGCACCTGTTTTAACGGAAATTATAACTAGATATTCTAATATTTACGCAAGCATTGGATGTTCGATTAAAGAACATACCTATTGGACCTAAATCGGGTAGTTCAAAATGGTTCTCAAAAACCTCTAAAATATATCCACGACTTTTTGTAATTATAGAAGAAATCAGTGATGGTGATAAATGATTTACTAATGATTTAGGTCAGCACGGAAAGTAACCTTGGCCCGTCCGGAAGATTTACAGAAAATTTAATGCCACGCGGAATAACTGTAATCTCATTAGGTGTTACCAACATTCTTCCAAATTCCGTCGTGATATCAAGACGACCATGTTGCGGAACTAATATTTTAATAACTTTTAGTGTTTCTGGATCATTATTCACTTTACTATTACACATTGAAATACGCTACCTATCAGGAAATCACCATCGGAATTATAAAACGCAATATCGACCATATCTTGATTCGCATTATATATATGAATTGCCAATCCATGTTTAACCGATGGATCGCCGGCACCGGCGAGAGTGTGTAATCCGCTGATAAAATTTACGCCCTCTCGATGTAAAGAATTTAAGGGATTGAGAAGTTCGAGAGGATTCCAACGAGTTTGATTTGGATTAAAATTTATTTCCTTGCCATTGAATTGACCCACGATGTCTGTAGGTTGTTGAAATTTCTCGAAGGGTTTGTGGCATGCTGATGGTCGAATTCGGTAAAGCCAACTATAGGAAGAATTAAGAATAGATTTCCAATTAAATTTCACCAACGCAAAGCCAATAATATGCGTGAAGTACAACAATCAATCACCTTCGCTCATTGTGTTTCCTATCAACGGTAAAAGCTGTTCCAGAAAGTTGCTCGGCATAAAGACCATACGGACATTTTTGCGGTGTATTTTGACCTTGTTGAATAAAAAAGGCGTGTGTTAAATGTCATCCAATTATCAAAAAATTAATGATTTGTACCTTTGGGTAATGCATCGGGTAATGCTTCTGAGACAAAATGGTTTCCAAAACCTTCCAAATATTTATACTCGCGAATTGTCTCCATATTTCGTAAAGTTTACGACTGAGAGGGAAATTTATACTTCCTTTTATAGCTTATTGAATACTACGTACATAAAATCTCCTCATTGTTCAATGTTTCCCACGGTGTAGTATTGATTATTACCTTTATTTGGTTAAGGCGTTGGATAATACTCCAAAATAGTTTAATTTGAATGTATTTTTCTTTTTATATTGTAACTGGTACACACACCACGAATTTTTTTTTTTAAAAAAAGGTTTTGACATTATTATTATAAGAAATTTTAATTCAGTATGACAAATACAATGCAAAAAATCATTTGGTTGTTTTAAAATCACATTAATATTATAATAAAGTAAATTGTTCTTAAAAATATTTAATTATAAACACTAGTTCAAATTATGTTATTCGGCTGTCGAATTACAATCAATTAAAATACAGAAAATTTGATAAATTTATAGTATATTAAAATTTGGTATAAAAGCAATTAGTAATTTTTTTTTTTTCATAACAAATATAATTAATTGTTGGCCTTGTAAGTATTTTGACAAATTTAAAAATTATAATCTATACAAATTTAATTTATTATTACATTTATAATAATATGGCTGATTCTTTTTAAAAATAATAAAAATGTTATATACGATTTTTTGATTCCTATTTTTTTAAACAATACATATACAATATAAATTCTAAAAGTACAATTATAAAATCAAAAAATTTTTCATCTATCTTTAAAAAAAATTACCTATATATTTAATAAATCTATTAAAAAATATTTTAAAAATATAAATCATATATATAATTTGATCTAATTATTTATTAATTCTTTTTTTACTTTATTTTATTTTAATTTTTTAAACTATATTTCCATATTAAAATATATATATTGTAAAAAAAGAATAACATTTCTTATACTAAATGAGTCTAATACTAATCTACTTATATTAAACTATTTAAATCATATGTAAAACATTTCAAAATTATACAAATAAAAATAATGGCATGCCAAATCATATATAAACAAAAAACAAATTTAAAGAAAATATCAAAATTATAATTTATTCTTTTTATATTATACCTTTAGCTTATACTGTTATAGACAAAATAAAAATCTAGAATTAATATATACTTTCTAATAAATATTTTAAAATAGTTTTTTGATTAATACAAACTATCAAATCTAGAGGTTAAAAAAAAATAATTAAAATATAACTTCTAAATCTCTTAGCAAATATTTCAAAAATTTTAATTAATATTAACTATCAAATTTAAAGATCAAAAAATCAAGCAGAATGCAATTTCTATATATTTAATATTTCATTAGATAGTTTTCTACATTCACTATACATTAGCATCTATATCAATAATCTTTTTAAAAATAAGTTTATAATAATAATAATTAATAATAATATTTTTGTAAAATATAATTAATGAAAAAAATTTTGTTAATCTTTTAATAAAATAAGTTGATTTGATTTTTTTGCATTTATATTTATAAGTAAAAAAAAAGTTAAACTAAAAAATTTTCTTTATATAATATTTACTATTAAAATTTTCAAGTTTTGATAAATTTAATCAAAAGTTCTATTTAAAGTTTCAATTAATATCAGTACTAATTTTGATATCAAAATATTAAACTTTTAATTTAAATATAATATTAAATAAAATTATAATTTTAATCTATAAGTTTATAGCTTAGTAATAAAGTTCTATAAATTATCAGATAAAAATTTAAAGTTCAAATCCACCTGGTTACAAATTAATAATTATAAAATTGTAACAAATTATACATATAATAGAAATTATTAAATTGAGTCAAGTATAATAAATCAAGAATTTAATAATTAAGTTAATTAGATATTTTTTATAGTTAATACAATATTATAATTGTATTACAATTATTTTAATATAATGCAATTACCATATTCTTCCAGTTATAAGCACACCTTTTTAGAGGTTTATGTTAGATTTATTTTTGTAGAAATGCTTATAATTAAAAGAAAGTATTTTTTTAATAATTTGATCAATATTGATTTGATTTGGATAAAAAATATACCATTAAAAAACTCTTATTGAAAGGAATCTAATGATATAATTTTTATTAAAATTTAATTTTTAAATACCGATATATTAATTTTTGTTTTTTTTTAAAAAATTATAAGGGTGCTTATAATTGAAAAGTGCTTATAACTGGGAGAATATGATATTCAATTTTGTTACAATTATATAATTTGATATAATTATTTTAATATAATATAATTATGTGATTTTGCTACAATTATAATTCAATATTGAAATAGTGATACAATTTTTTAATTGGTCAATAAATTTAATTTATAAAATTTTTTATATATTTTATATTTTTAATTATTTACAATTAATATTTCTATAAGGTTTTCAGCAATGGAAAGAAATGAAAACATAAGCAGAAGTAAAAAAATGAGAAAAAATGAAGATTCCAAGTCGATACTCAAGCTACAGACACAAGGCAGTGCAGATTTCCTTTCAAAAGAACAGAAGAAGCAAGAAGATTACAAGAAAAACTCATAGAGAACTGGTTAGACCAGAGAAAAAACATAATTAATTTCAATTTCTATTACTTTTCATATAATAACAACATTAACGGAGTTTTGGCACATTAGTTTTGATATATACCAGAAGGTAAGTCAATAGCAACAAGCTGATATGGAGTCAAATCAATATAGTAAAACATGCACCTAGAATAGTTTATAGATAATAAGTCTTGTAACAAGAAATACATATATAAACTAAATAAAATATATTGGGCAAGGCCTTATTAGTTGAAATAATATTTCTATAATCTATAATTTAATTTAAACTAAAATTTTACTATTCAAAAGTTCTTAATAAGAAAAATCTAATGGTAAAATTTTTGTTCAAACTAGATTACTTGTTATAAAAATATTAATTATAAACAATTAAAAAATAAGATATTAACTATAATTTTAATAATTTATAATTGATATCTTTCTAATCAATAGTCTAATTTAAATAAAAATTTTATTATTAAAAGTTTTTAATTAGAGGAATTGAATAATATAATTTTTATTTAAATTTAATTATTAGTTATAGATATATCGATTATAAATAATTTAAAATATATTTTTTTATTATTATTATTTTTTTTTTTTATGTTTAATTAGCTGGGCCTTGCCTAACATACTTTATTATTTTATTTACATATATAATTCATGTATTACAGGAACTACTATCTATAAATAATTCTACACATCACTAGACTATATCGATTTTACTTTATATCGGCTTGTTGCTGTCAGTGTCACCCCAGAAGGGTTGTACTGAGGCTAATGTGCCAAAGCCCCATTAGTGTTATTATTATATTGTTATGTTCTATTTGGCACTGTGTGAATTTAAAGAGAAAGTTTGAATATGGGGAACTGGGGATAGTACTTATTTTTGGCAAATAGAACTACTGCAGAAAGAATCCTTCTAAACCCGACCACCTGCAAATAAGTATACCATTTAATTTTCACCTTTCTAGAGCTACCCAAGAATGTTTAAGAAACTTATCTCACAGACTTATGGCCCATAAATTGTTTCAGCTATCGGTATTTACTGCTGTTTTGGCTATCTTCTTGAGATAGGTAACTGTCAGAGCGATCTATTACTGAATTGAAATAAGGCCTTTCTGGAAACTTGCAGAAAGAGACACCAGGTATCACAAGGAAACGATCACCAAGCCATCTTTACTAAAAGCAGACACCTCATACACCTTACAACTTTTGGCGATTATCATAACACCAACCAGACAATCATCATACTATAATACCTTTTCTGGAAATTACAATCTCAATGTCCACTGGATCAGCATGTGAAACGGCTTCTCATGAGAAACAGTGCATATACAGGTTATAGTGCCAAATACCATATTAATTCTATTCAATTGTCCTCACATAGGATTGAACTGGTATCTTGTGATTTAATCTGTGAAGTGTTAACTATTACACTACAGATCCACAGGTCATAATTTAAAATATATAATATATAAAACTTTATAAATTAAATAATTAATATTTATGTAATTAATAATTAAATTTAAATAAAACTTTTATTATTAAATTTTTTTTATAACAAGTTTTTAAATAGTATATATTTTATTTAAAATAAATTACTAGTTATTAAAATATTAATAACAAATAATTTTTAGAATTATAGTATTTTATATATAGTATTTATGTTTTTGACAGGTTAATAATATATTTATAATAATAATGAGTTGTTGATATTTTTATAGTAATAGTAGCTTATTGACATATTTATAGTAATAATAGACTACTAATATATTTATATTATTATTAAGTTGTTAATGTGTTTATATTATTAATAAGGTATTGATATATTTATATTATAAACATGCATATATTGTTAATGTATTGATATATTGATATTATAAACATGCATATATTATTAATGTATTTATATTGTTAAATGTTAATGATTATATTAATAATATAATTATATTTTTAATTTATAATATAGATTACTTAATAGTAATAAGTTAATTCTGATTTTTTCAGATTAAAAAATTTTGTTATATAACTTTGAATAAATGATATAATTAAATTTATTGTTTGTTTATTGTTTTGAATCTTTTTAATCTAAATTTCTTTGAAAAAAATTTGATATCTCTTTATTTTTTGTTTGATATCAAGGTTGTTGGATTTATTAAATAAAATTTGGCTAGTAAAAATTTATCTGATATTTAGAAAGATATAAAACCTTGTATACAACTAGTTAGAAGCTAAAAGGATTAATACAAACTTTCTTTTTAAGCTTATTATAAATTGTATACTTCTTTATTTCTTTTTCTTGTAATAAATTTTGTCTGTTTATAAAAGACAAGCAAGTAAAGAAGTACTAATAGTAGAAGAGGTTTAATTAATATGATATCTTTGTTAATTATTTATTGTATTTGTTGAATTTTTTGAATTTCTTTAAGATTAAAGATAATATTTATTTATGTATATTTTTAAAATTAT